AGAAAGAGAGAAAGAGAGAAAGAGAGAAAGAGAGAAAGAGAGAAAGAGAGAAAGAGAGAAAGAGAGAAAGAGAGAAAGAGAGAGAGAGAGAGAGAGAGAGAGAGAGAGAGAGAGAGAGAGAAGAGAGAAAGAGAGAAAGAGAGAGAGAGAGAGGGGGAGGGAGGGAGGGGAGGGAGGGAGGGAAGGAGGGAAGGAAGGAAGGAAAGGGAAGGAAGGAAGGAAGGAAGGAAGGAAGGAAGGGAGGGAGGAAGGGAGGGAGAGAAAGAGAAAGAAAGAAAAGAAAGAAAGAAATTAAGGAGGAAAAAAACCTTTTCTTTCTTTTGGAGATTTCCAGAAAATGTACCCTTACAGATGAGAGTCTGTGTCTTCATGGGTTAGAGAATAACCACACTTTGTGCATAAAAAGTTATTAAGCACAATTCCTGAATTATACATAATTACTAGCTATGAGTCAGTTGTACATTTCTGTGTATGCTGGTCTTCACTTAATAAGGCTTTATTTCACAGATCACTTGGTGTCCCTACTTCACTGAAACTAGGTGATTATCTTTTAAAGTCTCATTTCACATAACCTAGGAGGTATATAGATTTATTTTAAAATGTCATTGCCATTATTTTAAACCTTACCCATGGTATATATCTCACAGAAAGACACAGAATAGGTTCATTATTTTAAATCTTGCCCATGGTGTATATTAGCTCACAGAAAGACATAGAGTAGGTTCCTGCCTTAAGAAAACCTGACCCGCAAAAAAGCCTGGGTTTGCACAAGAGGAATTAAGGGCAGGGAGCCGACCTTACAACAGAATGTATAATAGAATTTTATCCAAGAGCAGGCATCCTGAGGACATTTAAGACCCAGATGCATTTTTCCTTGTTTAAGAGCACATATCCAAAAATTGCAGTCTTTCTGGGAGGCATGATCACTCTGCACGTAAAGCTTTTAGGTTCAGAGCTCGGGGAGGCCATTACCACGGCTGCTCTCCATCTGCCCTGTGAGGGTCCTTGGGGTGGCTGCACTCTGGGGATGGTGCTGGGGCTGACTGACTCACACAGTCGTGTAACACATCAGACCTTCCAAAGTCGAACCCTTATTTTGTTTCAAGACTGAATTATGACAGGACTTGGTCTCAGAGCACATCTCCTCCCCAGGCTGGAGATGGCCACTTTAAAACAGATGGCCTGCCCCACTTCATCATTTTTACGGCTCTGATCTGTGTTCTCCACTGGCCTCTGGTGAATCAAGAATACAACTGGACTTGAATATCTGCTTTTAAAAATAAAGAACAGACCGGGTGCGGTGTCTCATGCCCGTAATCTCAGCACTTGGGAGGCTGAGGTGGGTGGATCACCTGAGGTCAGGAGTTCAAGACCAGACTGGCAAACGTGGCGAAACCCCGTCTCTACTAAAAATACAAAAATTAGCTGGGCATGGTAGGCGTGTGCCTGTAATTCCAGCTACTCTGGAGGCTGAGGCATGAGAATTGTTTGAACCCAGAAGGTGGAGGCTATAGTGAGCTGAGATCATGCCACTGCACTCCAGCCTGGATGACAGAGCAAGACTCTGTCTCTAAATTAATTAATTAATTAAATAAAATTAAAATAAAGAGCCAAGTAAGTCCTGTCCACAGGAAAAGGCCTTACTTGCTGGGGAAGTCACCGGCTGTGCTGGAGTAGACTTGTAAGTTGGAACGGTGATACAGTACCACCTTACAGAGCTGCTCTAGGGCACCATAGGGACTGTCTGAGAAGGCCCTGGCACACTAACAGATGGCATCTGGGGTGGTGATGATGACAAGAATGATGATGAATGTGAAACACTCTGCTCTCATTTCTAGACCAAGATTTACAATAAAATTATGCACCTGTCCACCTCCAACCTGTCCATGGGAGAAATGACTGCTGGGCAGATCTGTAATCTGGTTGCCATCGACACCAATCAGCTCATGTGGTTTTTCTTCTTGTGCCCAAACCTCTGGGCTATGCCAGTACAGGTACCGGATGGGCTGAGGGGAAGGGAGGGGGACAGCAGGACACACAACCAGAATCTGCTGGTTCATGGCCAGTGACTAGGAGTGCACTGTCTTCCACTCCATGCTTGCCTATACCTTTCACACACCTGGCTGTACCACAGGCTGTACCTCTGGGTCCCTCATGCCCCATACTCTGCAAGCACTGACCATCTCTATTAATGACCAGAGACAGCAGTATCATTAAGACTTTAAAAATGGAGCCAACTTTATAAACGATAGAAAAATCAAGCCGGGTGCAGTGGCTCACACCTGTAATCCCAGCACTTTGGGAGGCTGAGGCAGGAGGATCATATGAGCACAGGAGTTTAAGGCCGGCCCAGGCAACACAGTGAGACCCCCATCTATACAGACAAAAAAGAAGAAAGAAAATAAAAATCATATGTGGAGTGCTCACAGATCTTAAAAGCTATGTTGTAGCAAAATACTTAATTACATTGAAAAGTGTTAATCATGTATTTTTAAGCAAAAAAAGTAAGTTACGAATAGTATATGTTATATGCTTACTACTAAACTGTTATGTATACATTTGTACATATTCACACATGAAAAGGAATTGGAAAACCACATGGTGGGATTATAAGTGATTTTTATTTTCTTTATGTGTTTCTAAATTCTCTAATAAGCATGTATTGGTTTTGGAAATCAACAACGTGATATTTTTAGCCTAGGCAACAAAGTGAGACCCTGTCTGTACAAAAAATTAGCTGGGGGTGGTGGCTCACAACTATAGCCCCAGCTGAGGTGGGAAGATTACCTAAAGTCCAGGAGGCGGAGGTTGCAGTGAGCTACAACCACACCACTGCACTCCAGCCTGGGTGACAGAGTGACACTTTGTCTCAAAAACAAACAAACAAAACCTGGCGTTTTTTAACCAGATGTGGTGGTGTGCCCCTTTAGTCCCAGCTACCTGGGAGTCCGAGATGGGAGGACTGCTTGACCCCAGGAGTTCAAGGCTGCAGTGAGCAGTGATCACGCCCCTGCACTTCAGGCTGGACAACAGAGAGAGACTCCTGTCTCTTAAAAAAATAATAAAAGCTTTAAAACGTGATATTTTTTTAAAGCAAGACAACCTTTGGTGCTGGCTCAGGAAGAGGTACATTACCCCCCAATAATCAGAGGAGAATCGTCGGCGTGGTTGATCTGACCTCGGGCTTCATGTGCCCCGTCTCCCATCTGGAGCTCTTCCACCAGTGTCTGATCCTGTCCTATACCTGGGAGTAAATCTACACGCTGGTGTTCAGACCAGAAACCAAAATCCCAGACCCATTCCCAGAGGGCAGGCAGGTTCACCAGGAAAGCTTGATGTGGCAGAAAGTATCTGACTTGGGTGAGACAGGCTGATTCAAATACTTAACCTCTCTGAGCCTTGGTTTCTTCATCTATGAAATGGGAAGGATGCCTACCCTGTGGAGTTGCTATGGCAATTCAGTTAGATAATGTAAGTAACACACCACGCAGAGTGCCCCGCAGAGTCTTCACTTGGTAAATATCAGATCCTTCTAACTTGCACATGTTTGGTGTGAGTGAGACGTTACCAATCCAGAATCCATTGCTTCTTGGGATAAAGATTCCGTAAACCTTCATCTCCAGTGATTTGTATTGGTCCTCCTCACTTGCAAAGCTTAGAGTTAAAAAATATTAAAAGGAAAAAAGGGGAGAGGCTCCCACAGGGACACAGCTAGACAAGATGGGATGCAGGGAATCTGATGTTCTTTTTTATGGGAACAGTCATATACGCCATCCCCCATCACCACCTACCCACGCCCAGACTGCCCCCGCTCCATTCTGCCAAGACAGATCAATGACTATAAAAGCTACAAAAGGGCCTGGAGATCTCATCTAGTTCAGTTACCAACCAACCTTTTATGCATAAGACTCTAAGCTGGGTGGGGTGGCTCATGCCTGCAGTCTCAGTCACTCAAAAGGCTGAGGTAGGAGGATGGCTTGAGCCCAAGAGTTCAAGTCCAGCCTGGGCAACATAGAGAGACCTCATCTCTAATACAATTTTTTTTTTTTTGAAACATGAAAAATGAAGATTTCTGACCATGGTTCTCTCATTAGTTAACACTTTGGGCGGTGAGGGCCTGGTGCAGAAAGACACAGCCTGGGAGGATCCTAACATGTACACAGCACTCAAAAGGCTACACAACACTTTCTGTTGTGTCCCCCTGAACAAGCAGTTTGTAAGATTGTGTTGGCTGGGCGCGGTGGCTCACTCCTGTAATCCCAGCACTTTGGGAGGCCGAGGCGGGTGATTCACCTGAGGTCAGGAGTTCAAGACCAGCCTGACCAATATGGTGAAACCTCATCTCTACTAAACATACAAAAATTAGCTGGACATGACGGCGTGCACCTGTAGTCCCAGCTACTCCGGAGGCTGAGACGGGAGAATTGCTTGAGCCCGGGAGGCGGAGGTTGCAGTGAGCTGAGATCGCATCACTGCGTTCCAACCTGGGTGACAGAGCGAGACTCCGTCTAAAAAAAAAAAAAAAAAAAATCAGATTTTGTCTACTAAACCTGCCACATGGTTACCATTACTAGTATTTACAGTGTTGCGCATGCATCATTGCTAAGAGTGCTAACTAATATTAACAGCCCTTGCCCCATGCCTGGCCCTGGCCCAGCCCCTCTCCCTTATGTAATTTAATCCTTGCACTGGGGGTAGGGATTTTTATCTCTACTGATTTCTTACCCGTTGTTCATTTATCATGAAGTGTCCTTTGGTTTTCTGTTTTTGTATATACCTTTACCACTTATGGATTTGACCAGCACTCAAGAACCAGTGTTACTCCTGGGAGTTGATACAATCCCAGCCCCATGGCAAAGAAACTCATGTAGTTAGGATTCTATGTGCAGCCTGGTTAGCCACAGGGCACACAAGGCTTTTTATAATATTGACATTAGTGCCGAAACCCCGTTTCCATGTAAGCCCTGAGGGCTCTTGTTGCTTCATAATCTTTTTTTGGTCACATGCACACAGCTTTATTGAGATATAACTCGCTCATTTAAAGCATACAACTCAGTGGGTTTTAGTATACTATATTCACAGAGTCGTGCAGCCATCATCACAAATGTGGAAGTTTTCATTTCCCCCAAAAGAAACCCATACCCATTGGCAGTCACTCCTCATCTTCGCCCCCAGCCCTTGGCCACCGTTAATCTCCACATACCTTTGAAAGGCTAGTGAAACTTTCTCAGAAGAATAAATGCTTGTTCATTTTGGCCATAATTTCAGGGGCTTCATGGGTGCCCCCTGACATTTATCAAGAACACCAGGTTAAGGAATTTAGCTATACGGGGGGTCTCTGTGTTTCCCAATCTCCTGGGTATCAGAGGCCCAGAGATACCAGAGGTATGTGATACCCAGAGGCCCTCCTGGGTATGTGGGCCACACAGTGAACCAGTGTAAGCTGTGTGGCGCCATACTCACATGTCTGTCTTCTGTGGCTCCCCTGTGACAGAGTTCCTATGAAGCTTTTTCGTTTATTTTCTGAGAGGAGGGTGAGCCACCTTGTACTGATCTCCAACTATATGCCCGCCACAATTCTAGGTGCTTATCATAGAGGTTCATTTAATCTTCACAGTAGTCCTGCAGAACGAACAGAGTCCTTCAGAGTGAGCATTATAATCACCATTTTAAAAATGAAGAAACTGAAAATCAGAGAGGTTAAGTAACTCACCCAAGACTGCACAGCAAAGGGCTGGGGCCTTCAAACTCAGGGCCACAGACTCTAAAGACTGTGTCTTCCCCGCTACACTAGGTTGTTTTCCTAACCTGTGAATAGGAGACAAAATAATCCTTTTATTTCTCACAGTTGCTTTGCACACTCAGACTCCATGATTTCTTCCCCATGAGGGCCATTCAGACCTGTCCAGAAGAGAGGAATGGACCAAGGAGTCTTGGGAGCACCAAAGAGGAGGGGATGGGGGAGCATGAGGAGGAGCCAGGGAATAGCAGCAGCTGCAGCCCCAGCTCCCACCCCAGTCGCTGCCAGTCCCTTGGAGGTGGTGTGGGTGCAGACACCAGCTCATAAGGTGCCCTGTTAGTGAGCTTGGGATGCCACTTGTTGTCTTGCCTAACCCACACTGGCTGAAGAACACCCTGATGGCCTCCCTTTGAGCACAGCTAATGAAGGACCAGATGCCAGAGATGAGTCCAGGAGGGTGATGCTGTAGGGCAGGCCGGGGAAGAGGGTACTTCATCTCCTAACATGGTCCTCTGCCCATCTGTGCCAGCATCTAACACCTGTCAAACACTGGGAGGCTGGCGGTAAAGGGGCCACTTCCCAGCCTCTAAGATACCTGCTAAGCCAGGAGGCATTCTGTGATTAAATTACAGGGCCTCCCACTTACTCCTTTATCCTTGAGGCAGTGCTGGGACCTTAATGCCAATCTGGTGTAGGGCTCTGGGACTACAGGACCAAGGCAAGCAGTCCTTTCTCTCTCTCTTTCTCTTTTTTTAGCTAAGGAAGCCAACACATCTGTTCTTCAAGAAAAAGCCCTGTATTTAGAGGTGTTTGCCTTTGAAGGCAACCTGAAAAACTGTCATCTTGGCACTTTGGGGACTGGCAATTTACACGTCTCATAAATATTCAGAAGTAGGCAGTCATTTATATAAAGCTAGACACAGAAGGAATTCTCTTTTCAGAGAATACCTGGCAGACTCATTAAAAAAATTTAAAGAAACCAAGAGCATGAGAATGAAAAGCAAATTCTGGGACCCCAGGCTGGTTTTGTCTGGCATGAGTGCAGCAACTTTGCCTCTTTGCTCAGGTATCACTTTCTTCCAGTGACAGTGAACCATAAGCCATGAGAGCCAGCAAACAGAACAAAAGATGCTGTCACAAACATTGTGCAATCTCAGCTCAGAGATTTCCATCTGGAAAATAGACTGGAGAGAGTTAAGGCTTCAACCAACCTTGCAGATAAATGCAGTTAGTTACCAGCCCAGCAACCTTCTGCTTGTGTGAGAGCCCATTATGCTAACCTCCTTTTGAAATTGCTTTGTTTCTCCTCCTTCCCTGCACCCCACTCCCCAAGACAGTTTGGAAACCTGGGCACCAAGGCTTGTCCCACTCTAGGGGACTGGAGAAACAGGGATTTTGCCAGCACCCCCTGGCAGGGCAACCATCAGGTCAAAGGAAACTCATCCCATGACCCCTTCCTCAGATCGTTGTGGGTGTGATTCTCCTCTACTACATCCTCGGAGTCAGTGCCTTAATTGGAGCAGCTGTCATCATTCTACTGGCTCCTGTCCAGTACTTCGTGGCCACCAAGCTGTCTCAGGCCCAGCGGAGCACACTGGTGAGTGCCCAAAGGTGTGTGTGCTGTGTCCCTCTTCCCCTCCTTTCCCCTACAGCAGCAGGTCTCCTCCCACACACCCACAGTCACTGACTTTGATTTTGAGTAGGCCACTTCACCTGTCCAGGCCTCAGCTTCTTTGTCTGGGAAATGGAGTTAATGGGGGCGGAGGCTGCCTCCCGGTGGGGACAGGAGCCAGGCACGGTGGTGACAGTGTTGACACTCAGGCCTTCCTCTCGGGTGGGGGACAGAGCAGAAGCCTCTCCCCTCTGACTCGGGGACCCCTGCAGGAGTATTCCAATGAGCGGCTGAAGCAGACCAACGAGATGCTCCGCGGCATCAAGCTGCTGAAGCTGTACGCCTGGGAGAACATCTTCCGCACGCGGGTGGAGACGACCCGCAGGAAGGAGATGACCAGCCTCAGGGCCTTTGCCATCTATACCTCCATCTCCAGTGAGTTCACCCCATGCAGCCAGCCCTGGGTGCTACTGCCTACATGCAAGGAGAGGGCGTCAGAGCTCGGGTGAGAGGCTGTGCAGGGACAGAAGCAGGAGGCTTTGAGATTATCCGACTCAGTGGGGGAGCCTCAAACTGGCTCTGATAGCTGAGCTCCCAGAAATCAAAGTACTCTTCATTCATTTATCCAACAAATATGCATGAAAAGTCTGCTATGTGCTGGACACTGTGCTGGCCCTCAGGATACCGTGATGAGAAAGAGAGATGAGGTCTCATTCCTTATGGAACTGATATGTTATTGACAGACAGCAGCAAGTGAGTAAATGACCACAGTTTCGAACTCTTGTAAGAATGAAGACTTTTTAGTAAGTCAGACTGAGCTATCATTGCCCTGGGGAAGCTATAAGAAAGCTTCAATCCACTTGGGGCCATACAAAAGAAAAAGACTAGTTATCCTTAAATATCAGAAGCCCAAGCTGAAGGTACTCATAGGTATAGGGACTGAATTTATATTAACTAAGTGGTTTGGGAACCCCAAGCCAAGGAAGAAGAAAAAGACCAAAACTGGTAAAAGTCCTAGAGTCCCATATACTTGAAACCATTTTACTGAGAATATAAAACTTTTTTTTCTTTTTTGGAGACAGAGTCTCGCTCCATCACCCAGGCTGGAGTGCAGTGGCACAATCTCGGCTCACTGCAACCTTCACATCCCAGGTTCAAGTGATTCTCCTGCCTCAGCCTCCCAAGTAGCTGGGACTACAGGCACATGCCACCGCATCCAACTAATTTTTGTATTTCACCATATTGGCCAGGCTGGTCTTGAACTCCTGACCTCATGATCCACCCACCTCAGCCTCCTAAAGTGCTGGATTACATGCATGAGCCACTGTGCCTGGCCCAAAAGATTTTTTAGAAATTGAAATTTTAATTATCGAAATTAATTCAGTGAACAATGGTCCCCTGGCCAGAGTGAGAGCTTATGGAGATGAGGTGATCCATGGAGTCTTGGCCCAAGTTTATCTCACAGTTGGTCTTGTGGCTCCGTGGACTCATCCCATGGTGGTTACTTCCAAGTGCATAATTGAGATGTAGATATTTAGCAACCAGCTGACTTCACACTAGTTCCCTGACCTGTCCAGTCTAAGAGTCTTTATGGCCAAGTGGAAGCCCCTGGAGAGAAGAAAATAAAAAAGAAACCAAAACCTACTCAGTGCACAGGTTATATGAATGAGTATGGCTGAAGAGAGAATTTTTGAATTAGAAGACAGATGGGTGGGGATTACATAGAATGTGGTAAGGAGAGTAAGTTGGTAGAACCATTTTACAGGTGGGAAATTAAGGCCAGAGGGGAGTGTGTTCCTGAGATCCCTCCTGAGGTTAGTAGCATGGCTCAGACTAGATCCTCCAAAGTCTCTTAACTTCTGGCCTCAGGCTATTTTCCACAAAATGCTGGGGACCTCTGTGGGGTGAAGAAGACTTGGGACACCATGGGGCAGCACTATAAGGCTATTTTCTCTTAAGAGAAAAAAATCTCTGGGCTCTGAAAGGAGTAGAATTAGGGAAGGAAATTAAGAGGGGCTACTGACCACCTCCTCCAACTAAAATTGGTTCTTTTGGTGCCAGGAAGAGATACACCTGGTGGGGGAAGGTGGTAATGGAGGGGGTGCTGGTAGTGTCTCCCAGATAGGCCCGTAGAGCAAGCCTCATGGAGAATGAGACGGTCACTCAGGTCATCTGTGTATTCTTGGCATTCTTGCTGCCTAGAGAGAGGGTCCGATGGAGCTAGGTGGCCACCAAGCTGTCCCAGTCCCCAAGACAATTTGGAAACATGGGCACCAAAGCATGTCCCTTTCTAGGGGACTGAGGAAACATCCCACAGCAGTGTTCTCACAGGATGGAGCTTGCCATGAATACCCCAGGTGTCCAGCCTCCCTGTGTCCAGCCAGACCATGGTGTCCTATGCCTCAGGCAGGGAACGTGGTCCAGTCATCAGTGGTTAGACCCTCTACCATACATGGCACAAGCCATGGCGTTTTATGCAGAAAGTTCTGCTAGCATTTGATTTTCTGAGAATGGAGCTGTGAGCATAGCAGGCAGTCACTGTTTCCCAGATTCCTCACCAAGACACCCCAGGTTCCTGGTCTCTCCCTAATATCCTCATCCCTGACCCTGTGGTGCTCAGAGCCTCCAAACACACTCAGGCTAAGCACTCCATAGACAGGGGAAATTTGGAAGGAACATCTGGGGAGCTCAGAAAAGCCAATGTCCCCAGCCCCAGGCGCACTTCAACCTTCTCTCTGTCAGTTCTGCCTGCCCCTGGTGACTGGTTATATGAAGAGTAACCCCCTGCTTGTGTATAGCCTCCCAGTTTTGTACAGGTTTAGAGACAGTTCCCAGCAGTAGGAACAGCTGCCGAGGTGGGAGAGGGCTTCTCCCGATAGCCGGGGGACTTCCTCTCCCAGCAACAACAGGGTGGGGTACAGCAGACTTTCCATTGCTGAGATGGAGAGAGGGGAGAGAAGCATCAAGGAAAGTGGGGGCACCGGGTCCCCAAGGCTCCTGGCACAGCAAGCAATGAAGTTGGGGCAGCCTCAGGTCATGTAGTGGGGGCAGGTGACATCTGCTTTGACTGCTCCTAAAAGATATGTATTCATTTCCTGCATTCCAAACTGCAGCCTGGGACATGTTTTCTTATATAAATAGCAACAAAAGATGCTTGAGTTCCCAGGCTAGCCCACCGAAGCCTACCTAGTGGGTGCTCATTGTCCCCCAGGGCCCCTAGAAGACAAGCCATGGCTTTGTGATGGGCCTGGGGCCAGGAGGACCTAGGGACATGTTGTCAAGAGCTGAGATGACTCTGGAAAAAAGTAAGGGGCTCTGGAGTCAAGCAGGAGCCCGCCCAGGACTCCTCACCTGTCCAAGTCACCTAGAGAAACAGAGCAGCCCAGGTTGGTCCCTGGAAGAGAGCAGCAGAGGAGGGGAAAGGGGAGAGCCCTTGGGGAGAGCTTTGAAAGTCAAGTGCTGTTTGCTCAGTGTGTTTGCCTTTCTCAGGATGTGTTTTCCCCCCCCTCCATTAGTCAGCAGTTGGACGGGGAGAGAGACGGGTGGTAGGGTGCAGGGTACCTCCTGGCTGCAGGCATATGCTTTGAGTGTGTGTTCATTTACCTCCTCTGGACTTCCTGTCTTCTGTTACCAAGGATCAAGACACAGGTCATTAGGCGTGAGATAATGGGGCATCTCTTGTTCTGACCCCTGGCGCCAGTCTTGGAGTCCTGGCGCTGCAGAGGAGCCCCAGAATCACATTTCCTGTTGGGGCCCATCCTGGTGATGCCAGGCTTTCAGTCTGGCAGCTCATATGTGGCACCGTCAGACTTCTGGGCAGGCAAGATTACCTGTGACTCTGTCTGATGGTCTCGCCATCAGTATCACTGAGAGCAGCTGTGTATGGAGTCCTGAACTGGTACAGGATAAAACAGGGGGCTGAAAAGGGAATGGGCACAGTTTCTCTGTCATCAAAAGTGACATCCAGAATTGGTATTTCCTCTTGAATAAAAATAGAAATGTAAGTTGCTCAGTGGATGTTGAGTGAGCCCTATTCATGTGCCCCACCCTGTGCCTAACACTGGGAAGGAGGTAAGGGAAAAACATTAAGATGTGCTCCCCATTCTCAAGGAGTTTATGCTCCACTGAGAAGTCAGAGCTAACATGCACAGAACAGTGTGGCAGCAAGAGCAGAACCAAGTGGCCAGCTCCATGCTGGCCTCCTAGCAAGAGTGATTGCACTTCATCCTTGTAACAACTTGGTGAGGTGTGTAGCTCGATTGTCCCATTGTACAGCAGAGAGGATTGACTCTCAGTGAATTGAAATGTCTCAGTGAGGTCTTCCACAGCAAAAGGCAAAACACAGAGAAGGATGTCCGTGTGGGCTGGGGGTTCACCCAGAGATTCATGTAGGGGCGATGTGGGCTGTACCTTACAAGACAGTGGGATTTCAATGAGTAGAAGACAAAGTGGGAGGAAGCTGGAGACAAGGACTATGGCCTCTTCCTTTATAAGTCAGTTCAATCCTTTTTTCCTTGCAGAAGCAGCATAACTCTAGGTGGTTCCTCTGTATCTGAGGACAAGCTTTGTAGAGGTGACAAAGGGGTCCCAGGTCCTAGAACACTCAATATGCTGCCAGTTTGTTCTGTCCATTGTGAGGCACCCATTCCAGAGCCCTTCCTCTGTGCCAGGCTCTATGGAGGTCCTGGATGTTAAAAAGGAAGCAGGCATAGCCCTGGCCCTCCCAGTCTTGTGGGAGACTGATCATGTCCATGAATAGTGACTGTGCATGTGGTCAGAGCCACAGGGTCAGTTCCAAATACCCCTCTTTCTCTTTTGTGTTACTCACTTGACCCTGGGTCTTTCGTTTCTTCCATTCATTTTTTTTAAACAAATATTTCCTGCCCACCTTCTGTGTGCCAGGCCTGGGGATGCAGTGGGTGAAGCCTCTGTCCTCCTCAGTGGAGGCCCTAACTCAGAACAGGCAGTGGAAGAAACAACATGACCTGGAGACCTGGTCCCCCTTCCTTCCCCAGCATCTCTGAAATTCTTTAGGTGGTGGTGGTTGTTGTTGTTTTGAGATTGAGTCTCACTCTGCTGTCAGGCTGGAGTGCTGTGGCACGATCTCAACTCACTGCAACCTCTGCCTCCTGGGTTCAAGCAATTCTCCGTGCCTCAGCCTCCCAAGCAGCTGGGATTACAGGCACCCACTACCATGCCCAGCTAATTTTTTTTTTTTTTTTTTTTTTTTTTTTTTTTTTTTTGTATTTTTAGTAGAGATAGGGTTTCACCATATTGGCCAGCCTGGCCTCAAACTCCTGACCTCAGGTGATCCACCTGCCTTGGCCTCCCAAAATGCTGGGATTACAAGCTTAAGCCACTGCGCCTGGCCTGACATTCTTCAATATCTACCCGCCCTTCTGCCAGCTGGTGCAGCCACAGTAGGCTGCTTATGC